TCATTGACATAGTTATCCCAGCTTTTATGAAAATTTTTAACATAACTACGGATAATTTTCACTATATTTCTATTGACCCGTTCCGCTATATTTGATTGCGGCCGATACGGGACCATTTTTAAATGACGTATGCCCAGTTTTTGGCACATGTCTTCAAATATATTACTTACAAATTGAGGACCATTATCCGATATAACTTTTAGGGGCGCCCCGTATTTTAAAATATATTTATTTAAAATAGAATCAGTAACTAATTTCGCGGAGGCTCGTTTTAAGGGAACAATTTCGGTCCACTTACTAAAATGATCAACCATAACAAGGAGATAGCGACTTTTATTTAACTGACTTTTTGGGAAAGGGCCCAATAAATCGATGCCAATTATTTCATTTGGAAATTCGGATTTAATACTATTTAGAAACCCGGCCGGGCGGAAATTAATATAATTAACTGCTTGACATGTTGGGCAGGACTGGACATACGCCCTTGTTAACTTTTGCAGTTCAGGAAAATAGACTGCCTCGCGTACGCGTTGGATAGTTTTTCGAATACCAGCATGAGAAGCTAAAGGGCTGTCATGGAGCTCCTGCAGGATATTTAATCTAAGACTAGCTGGGATAACAGGTCGAAATTCGTTGTTGGAATTCGTAGTTTTTGTATAAAATAATAGACCATCTATTAGTTCGTAATGGGCCGCCCTATTTCTTATCGCCACAATATCTTGGTGGCTAAAATTTTCAGGATCCTTAAATACTCATAAATGCTTCCAAACTCAGGATCCTTACCCAGTTCGGTTATTACAGTTTCTCGGGAATTATTGTACATGCTGTGAGCATTGCCACCTTTACGGTATTACCTTCTTCATCTATTTTTAATTCTGGATAGGGCATCTGCTACGATATTTTCCTTTCCGGGGGTATGCTTGATTACCAGATTATTCTTGCAGCTTGAGTGCCCATCTTATTAACCTTGGGGATAAAATTTTTCCCTGAGTACAATCTAGTTACCGCCGCATGATCAGAATATACACTGTTATTGGCGCCTTTCCAAAATAGACTCGGAACTTTTGCACTGCTAACAGAACTGCAAGTGCCTCTCTCTCGGTCGCGGAATATTTCTTTGTGTGTTTGATTTAAAGTTCGGCTACTAAAAAATGCCACGGGCTGCTGATTTTGCGAAAGTACCGCTCCTACCGCATAATCCGAAGCATCCGCTGAAATTTCTAAATTCTCATCCTTTTCAGGAAATTTCAAACACAGGGGCTTGCGTTAATGCTTGTTTTAATTTTTCGAAAGCACTATTGGCTTCGGCCGTCCACGAGAATCTTGCCTTTTTCCTTTTTAATTTTAACAATGGTTCAGCAATAGCTGCAAAATCTTTTATAAAGGACCTATAATATGAACAAAGTCCTAGAAAAGAAGAGAGCTTCTTTGCCGTGTTTGGAGTCGGATACTTTTGTACAGCGATTATTTTTGATTCGTCTGTCTCGATTCCTTTTGAGATATTTTGTAACCTAAATATTTTAATTCAGGGGCTGCAAATTTGCACTTTTCGACATTAACTTTTAGACCGGCCTCATTTAATAAAGAAAACACCTGTCTTAAATCCTGTACATGTTGGTCGAGATTATCACTAGTAATAATGATATCGTCTAAATAGATAAATGTGGACTTTCCAAGAACAGGTCTTAACACAATGTCCATACATCGCTGAAATGTTGCCGGGGCCCCTGAAAGGCCAAACGGCATACGCAAAAATGCATAAGTGCCAGACTTGGTTATAAAAGCAGTCTTAGGCACGTCCTCAGGCCTAACCCCTATTTGAAAATAACCAGTCGTTAAGTCTAAAGTCGTCATATATTTGGTTGATTTTATGTTCCTTAAAATTTCTTCAATAATCGGTAACGGATATACCGGATATTTAGTTATGGAGTTTAATTTACGGTAGTCAATAGCGAAATCTCCACCTTTTTGGATGTGTGTGTTCAAAGGATAGTCATTATTTTTCTTACATAAAACCACCGGGCTAGCATAACTACTTGAGATGGGCGTTATGATCTTTTTACGTAGCATATCGGTAATATGCCATTCTATAATTTTTTCCTTATTCTTATCATACCGGTATGGTTTTTTGGCGAACTGGCATGAATCTCCGGTGTCAATACTATGGTTAGTAACCTGAGTAAATCCTGGAATATCACTAAATAACGAAGCAAATTCACTTACCACTTGTCGGATTCTTCTTGCTCGTCATTAGGCAGGTGGTCAAGATTTAACCTTCGGCGGTTTCAGCCTTTTCTTCACGAACTGGTTTCATCGTCAGCTTAAGGGACGCTTCATTAAAATCCAGCGTTGCTTGTGCCTCTGAAAGAAAATCTATTCCTAAGATTATATGTGCTTGCAGATTCTTTACTATAAAAAAACATCACCTTTACTTGTTCGTCCTTGATACGGATGTATAGCAAGGTAACTTTACCTATACGCACTTACATCTTTCTCCTTGCGCCGCTAACACTGTCGTATTATCCGAATTATATATGCGGTATTTACGAAAATACTTCCTAAAAAAATCTTCTGCCACACAGGAACACTGCGCGCCTGTATCCAGGAGTGCGGTGGCTGGGATATTATTCACCAACACTTCAATCTTCGGAAGAGTCAAATTTTTCACCATTACTGTATTTAACTTGAAGGAAGAGGGGTTTTCGTGGCCTTCGGATTTCCGCACCCTCCCGTCAGCAGAAATCCGTTTTAGTTTAAATTTTTTTTCCTTTCCGTGCTTTCCTTCTTTTTCCACTGGCCTTGAGACTTTTTTCCTGGTTGCTATTGAACTGTCGACGTTCGCCGGCTGTTTTTGAATGCTCGGGTTTCCTTGCCCACTGATTCGCTTTGCTCTCCGTAGCCGTGTGCTTGAGTTTGCTGTAGTCTTGGCGTACCAAATTGGTTTCGCTGTTGATATTGGCGTCTTCTTTCAACGTCCGCCGTTCTTCTACTTTCAAACTGGATTGCTAGCTCAAATAACTTTTCCAGTGTAGTCGGATTCTTAATTCAATAAAGTCTTGCACTTGGGGAAGTAACCTCGGCAAAATCACTTGAATTATTTCAGGATCCGGACGGTTTCCATACAAGAGTTTGAAAGACGTGAATTTTTCTTAAAATAAAGCTGGAGAGGTTTTCGATTCTTTGTTGATATATACTGAAAAGTTCCGTTTCTAATTTCGCACGATCCCTTACAACAGGGAAGGCTTTTAGTAGGGCAGTCTTGAAATTTCGTAAGTATAGGTGGGACTTCCTGCTTGACCCAAGAGACTTCTGCCTATACATTTGAACCAGTTAAGCGCTTGGCCCCTCAAAGCGCTGGTAGCTAAGGTAACTTTTTGAAACTCGTGCACGGGGTAGAGCATGAAGTGGTCATCCAATTTTTCCAAAAAACTGGTTACCGGTGAGTTTCCATTAAATGTTGCTTCTGGTTTCATCGAAGCGCGCATGGTCTGGACGATGATGTAACCAAATCCTTCCAGGGCGGCAGCTGGCATTTCTGGATTCTGAGCCGTTTCTGCAGGCAGCACAGGTTCTTCTTGAAACTCGGCCATGGTTATTCTTCTTCGTTGGGCGCCACTATCAGGTTCAATGTTCCGTCTTTACCTTCTTCGGGAACATACAATGACCTGACTCGGAACAGAGAGCTTACTAAAGCTATGTTCACTAAATTGTGGGTAAGTAGACAGGATACACAAGAAGGGTATACAAAACCCTTTATTTTTCTATTTACAATAACTTCCGTACTTCGGAATACAAGACCCTACTCGGGGTCTAACGTAAAAAATATAAAAATAAACTAAACTCTAACTTAACTTTAAAATAATAACGTGGAAGATTGGCCTTATATTAACAGGAAGCGTATGTAGTACAGAGAACTGTGAACACTACAATACGTTTAAAATTTATCAAGAGGATTAAAACCTCTGGCCTGGAAGGCAACCAGCAACTGCGTAAAACTTCTAAGGTAAGCGGCCTGCTTCGAACTCACGGCTTCCTCTCTCTCGCTTGGCAAAAAGCCACAACTTAAATACTTGGCGTTCGCCAGACAAACTTTGCATAAAAACCTTAACGCTTATAATTCTGGCCAGAAGTAGAAAATAAGAAGTGATAGTAAAGATTTAAAATAAAATAAACGTTAGTAAAACTTAAGATCCTTACAATATATCAATCATTCTCCTCCCAAAAATTAAAAATGAAAATTCTTACAGGTTTAGATTTGGGTTACATAAAAAATGGGAAACACAATCAACTTTATTTCTAGTCCACATTCTTTGTTATGGTTTCTGCTAAATGAGTCCCTGTGTTATTGCTGTGGAAAAAGCCAAGGGAAAAGATTTAGTTTCGGCTGTTTCTGTAATTATGACCTCGTTTTTAAATTAAACCTCATTGATAATATAAAATGTTCCTTGTAATTGTTCTGCTAGTTCAAACGTAATATATGTACACTATTCCTTGTTCCTTGATACACGTATATTCTGCAAATTATAACCTATTATCTCTGGGACATGTAAAGAAGTAAATAGATGTTTATTAAAGATGTTTATAAAATAATATAGAAAATTCCTTTGTAAAAATACAAAACATGAGCCACCCAATCGGCATAAAGGTTAGAGCCACTGAATGCCGTGTTGAAGGGCCCGGGTTTGAATCCCAGAGAAAGCATGCATATTTGTAAATGTATAGAGTACGTGGGGGCAATCTAAATAAGAGGCAAGCCTAAAATCCTCTTGAGAGGTTGATGGTAGGGGAAGAGGGATGGGAGACCCTCGGAACAGTCCCTCTGGGTGCTATTCATCAACATAGGGGCGAAACTGAGCTAAATCTCACTGCCACCTGTATGGTGCTCAAGGCTGTTGCCAACGACAGGCGTATCTTGCGCTCCTTACCACGAAGAATTTCGTGGGCTTGGGCTGACTACAGCTCAGACAAGTGAGCATTAGCAACAACAAGAACAAAACATGGAAAAATAAAAATAATTTTATTTTCATTCAGTACTGAATTTCCAGTTTTGCAAATTGGCATAGTTGGCGAAATATTTGAAAATGATAACTCATGTTCAAGTTAAAAGTTGTAATTTATAATTGAATATTGCAGAGTTGAAATGTAAAACAATTCAATTTATGAGCGAGCATTAATTAAAATTATATAAAACACTACATAAGACTAGAGTTAATTATCATGTTTTTTCTCTTAACAGAAAACTAAATGCTTGAAAATATGAAATACTTTTTTGGGTAATAATAATGACTTCATGTTAACTATGCATATTTAATAAAAAAGCATTTTGAATGCAAGAAATGACATTTTTCCTCTTATTTTCTGTAGAATTATTTTACAAAATTATCTGATATTTGAGTTTTTAAATAAGTTTAAATGAGTTTGTATAAGGGTCTTATTTTGATACGTATTAAAAAATAAAGGAACATTTAAGTACATAGATAAACTTTGGCAGAAAGTTTCAGTAACAGAGATTGGAAATTACGCCCATGTCATATCGCAGTATAAAAACTGTTTTAGGCAGATTCTTTGCAACACCTTTTTTTGATTGGACAATAATAAAACGAATTTTTAGTAATAAAATCTGTCTTTCTTTAAATATTTCTTGGTTCTTCTTAAATATTTACATATATATAGGTATGAATATAGTACATATATTACTTCCATATAATTTTTATATTGTATCTAATGAATATTCGTTATAATACAATTTCAACGATTTATTCTTTCCCTTCTTAATGGATATAACATTCGCTTCTTCGATGTCATAATGGCTTCTCTTGCTCCTTCCCATTTATGTGGTCCTTGAAGTCGATACTGATAAGAGACGAAAGGGCCCCAATATATCTTCCAAAATAGCCGGATGTCAGTAAAAAATAACTTAGGCAAGTTTGGCTTTACCCCAAACTTTGATGCAATGTCGTCCATGTATTGCAAACAGTCAACCCTCAAAGTCATTTTATCACTTGGGGAATATCTCTTCGCGTTTGCATGATGCGTTCTTTCGATATCTTTTAGCATTTTTCTTGAGGATGGTAAGTGTCCTTTTCCTGCAAGCATATGAGCTGCCCATCGACACTGTAACTCGCCAGTTGGAAACCCAGGTCCGAATGTCAAGAGGAAACCAATTATTGCAAGAGTTGGATGTTTGAGTTGAGGAGGATATATTCCTTTGTATAAATTGATTCGTCCGTTCTTTTCTTGAGTTACTATTCCCTCTTCTAAGAATGGAAATTTCCATGTGTATCCAGTGGCCATAATGACAGCATCTATTTCTGTCTCCTCACTGCTTTCTTCGAAATAGACACCCTTCTCTGTAAAACGTTCAATATCTCTCTTTTGAATTATAGATCCAGACAGCAACTTTGAGCCAAAATGATCATTAATGACAGGATCCTTGTTAAAGAAGTGATATTTTGGAGGTACATTATATAGTTTATGATGGAACCTGTTATCAATATAGAATTTCTCCATATACCAATTGCATACTTGTAATGGGAAAATATCCATCATTTTGTAGAAGTACCTTCGCATAAAAACGTAATCTATGGGATATCCGTGTGGTCCAACTCTGTGTAGAATATATGATCCAGTCCTTGTGCTTAAATAGACCTATTAAAAAGAATTTATTAGTAGTATATGCAGTAAATGTAATTTTAGTGTAAAATTTACTGAATTTAGATAACATATTACGAAAGTAATGCATCATGCTATTACAACTTTTGTAGTGCTCTTAGAAATGTATCTCAATAACGTTTTCAGTTTTTATAAGCACTGTCAAACAGAAGCAATCCTATTTTGAGGAATTGTAAATAACATTTGTGTAATTGATTTTTTTAAAGCTTAGATTGCTTACAAAGTCAGACCTTAATACTGGCTAGGCAAAGCTAGACTAGCAGTATAGTGGCTAAGAACTCTGAATACTGGGAGTCTGACTCGTATCGAATCCATACGAACTGTCTGGCTGCAAGAATGGATTTTGCGTTCCCGCTCCCTTGGATAACGCAGAAACGAGCCACTTGCGTTATAAATGCCTGTACAAAGGCTCCTTTTAACAGAAGGTGAGAGCTGAGGTCGTTGAATACTAGTAGTTCGGTCATGGGTCACGGCAAATGGACTGGCAGTATAGGCGTTTTTTGTGGATTTCCCTATGTGTAATGTGTTTACAAGCCAATTTTCCTTAGAAAGTCCTCCCCGAAGTTATACCTCCCCATAGGTACATAGCCCTCGAGTGCTGTCTCATAATCAAATACTAAATCAAACCAAATCTTTAGGCGGATATCTCTTATATGCTTTGCCGTATTTAAATAATTTAATCTAGCCAGAGAATAATTTCCGCAGTTTCAAGCGCTTATTGTAGGATAATAACGTGTTTTGTCTTTAAATTTATTTAAGCCAAAGAGATAATTATTATTTTTTATATCATACATGGCTTTTATATTGATAAGCAATGGGTGCCAGCTTCTTTCTGGTAGCCAGCTACTGCTGCTTGGATTTCAACTGATTTACTAAAGTTTATTAAAATACGTTATTTTATTTATGCTGTTTAAACTATCAAATTACTGCCTACAGCAATATGGTTATTTACCTATAGGGAGAGATGCTAGCATTGATATTCTCTTTAAAAGCGTACAGCTCATTTTTTACATTACACATGAACAAATGCACGGAACCCGAAGAAGATAACCGGTGAATAGCCAGGAATGGATGTCAAAGTTGACTGCTACTATTTCAAGATTTTAAATACTGAGGCCATTAGTGAGTTATTTAAACAAACCGATATTTTTTCTTCCCGTAGTAGCAATTTGTACACATAAAATACGCAAAACTAAATTCTGTATTTTCTTCTCATTATATTCTTTCATTATACAAAACTTGAAATAAATGACAGGTTTATGATTATCATAGTTATAATAAGGACCGTTGTAAGAATGAAATATTGAATATTGTTCGAAAATGCAATAAAAATATAAATAAATTAGTAAAACAATAACACATTACATTGAGTTTCGCTGATGTTGTGAAGCTTTGCATACCTAAATTTGCTAGAAATGCCATGTGAGGCCAGTCTTTTATCATTTTGCGAGCTGAAATAACTCTTTACATTAGCACTGTAATAATCGCTGTAATAGTAACACTGGGAGTAATCTTTCATTTGCAATTGAAAAAAAAAATGTTTCACTTGTTATTAATGCATGATCTACCATATATCTTGATCATTCGCCTTCTCCTTACGAGCAGCATATAAGACAAAAGTGGAAATTTTCTTGCCAGGAAATGTAATTTCGAGACTGCAGATGTCCGGGAGCGTTGATCTGCCATGCGCACATTGCTACGCCGCCGGAGGCAAATTTATCGAGGGAAAAAACCTTCCCCTCCCCACACAGAAAAACAATTTTATTGAAGTCAATTGATAAAACGTTTACTACACGCAAGACCTTTATCTGTAAACCTGTTGGTGATCTTGCTGAACATGAGAACACCGGGATAACAAGGAATGCCACTTGCATCGCTAATAAAGGTAAGCTACAAAATTTTCTGTTATCTAACGAGATTGGCAAACTTAGGCGGAAATCCCTGCTGAACTTCTGAAAGGTGTTGCTGGCTACTTTCTATATTTCACTTCATGAACCAATTGGTCTGAGATGTGAATAAGGAGTCGATTATTTCCAGACAGCTTGAAGACCTATTTAGTAAAGTATCCTCAGAAGAAATTGTTCATCTAACCTGAAGCAGAGAAGATCCCGAGGTGAAAATAATTCCCAAATGCCACAGAAAATTAAAAGAAGGATAAATTCCATTCAGGATATAGTACATAAAATTAATGCACAGTACACGCGTAAAATTCTCACGTGCTTCAAAGAAACTTTTATATTCTTTCCTATGAAGACTTAATTTTAAAGATTTGTATGATTTGTATTACCTAATTCACATATTACTTGTTATTAACTAAGCGCGTAGTTTTTTATAAATTATGTTTTATATATCTTTGCACAGAAAAATACCCTTGAAGTAACTTGGTTTTTTGCTGAAAAAATATGAATTTGCAAAAGCATCGGTTTGGATAAGAAAGCAAAGATTTAGTGAAAATGCCATAATTTACACCTAGTCACTATCAGGGAAGCAAGATTTACTCAAGAACTTCAGAATATAATTTTTTATAAATAAGAAAATAAATACAAAACTCCTCGTGTTCCACTAAGTATTCTACGAGACTTAGTAAATAACTCATAGTATAAGAAGATAAAATTATGCAATAAAAACGTAATATCTATGTCTGGAGAGAGCAAAGAAAACGTATAAAATACAAATACTATTATAAAAAATACTAAAATACACCATGAATAATTAAACTCTATTAATACTCTTATAAAAGTAAGTAAACCAACTTAATAATAATACAATAATAATGAAAATGAAATAATACTTAAAAATAATACTGATAAAAAGGGAAAATGATACATCATTAGCACAGTACATCAATATATAACGTAATCATACATGAATAATACGCAAAATAATACAAAGACACATAAAAGAATAAAAATCCAACCATGTTAATTATAATATTAAACGTTCAGAGAAAAAATAAAGTTGCGCAAGAGTGCAAAGACTTCGGATCTTCTAACAAAATCATAGAAAACAGAAAATAAAGGCCAATAACTAGAGAGCTGTCCTAAACTCACTTTAATTGCACTTCTGGCACTCGCATGCAACCCACAATGCAATAAAATATATTAGATATCTTCCACAGCATCGCCGCAAGCACAAAGTACATTAATAAGACTATTGAAAAGAACGGGGCTTCAAATAGCTTACAATCCAAACTTCAGAAACTTAAAAACAAATTTTAAAAAAATTAGGAAGCATAAAGATAATAAAATTATATATAAATTGTTTGGTGCTTTTAGGCAGATTTCAGATGTAAAATATGTTGGAGTTCTAACTTGTGTGTCTGAAATTCAGAAACACGAAATAAGGCTTTAACTCTAAAAAAAAAGATATCTAAATTTTTACTTGTTTGGCAACATTGCTTATTCCAACTGCAGCATCTAAAGCAGAACAGCCCATTCCAACAACTAAGACATTTTGATTTTTATATTCGTCAACCTCTTTCAAACTATGGGTGTGTATAATTTTTCCTTTGAAGCTCTCCTCATTAGGATATTTCGGCATTATCGGCCGATTAACGTGACCTACACAAACCATCACGCCATCATAGATGTCAGTAAGTTCTTCACCTGTAATCGTATTCTTTGCAGTCACCACCCAGCGGCCTGTTTCATCATAATCTTTAGAACGCTTAACACAGGTGACCATCATATTAAATTTAATGTGTTTAAAGCAATCGTGCTCGCTGGCAAATTCTTCCACGTACTGATACATCTCGTTGTGTCTCATATAATTGTTATATTCTTTCTTCGGTGGAAAATTGCTGAGGGCTCCCATTTCCTTACTATGATTAATGATAGTAGTGGGCATTATGGATGCAACTCCTTCCATATTAGACACTTCTCTGTAGTTCCAAGTGCCTCCAGGTTTATCTGTTTGCTCAAAGCATATAGGTTCTAGTCCCTCTTCTTTCAGCATAACGATAGAACCAATTCCCGCAAATCCACCACCAATGACTGCAATTTTCTTCGTAGATGCCATAATTAATCTGAAAGTAAATACAAAATTCATTTAGTCATGTGTAAGTTACAATAAGGTTTATACTTAAACTCCTCTTTTCCTATAATTTTATTATTCGTTAACTGTTAGTTAAAGCGACTACCTAATTTAGAATATTAAGAAACAATTCAGAGTCATTTCATTGAATTTTAAAGATTCAGATTTTTTTCAGTCATATGAAGGAATGAAACATTAATTCATACCACTACGTAAAATGAAAATTCGCCATTTTAATTTTTTAACGTAGTAATGAATATAATGAATATATTGATCAGTTTTCTATATGTGGCTTTTATGTTGATGTTTAATAACGAAAAATTGTTTAATGACATTCTTTCTTTTCTTCCCCTTTCGGCCCACCAGCGGCCGAGCGGAAAGTCGCTGAACACTGGTAGTTCGGTCCGAGGTTCGAATCCCGCGAACGGGCTGGCTGCATGGGCGTTTTCGTGGTTTTCCCCATTTGTAACGTGTATACGAGCCAGTTTCCCTTAGAAAGTCCTCCACGAAGGCATCCCTCCTGTTAGGCAGATAGCCCTCGAGGCTTTGCCATATTCACACACACACACACTTTTCTTCCCCTTTCGCCTCGAAGCTCGCTCATTCCAGAATTTATGTATATTTTGAGTGGTAAGTAGTTTAGGAGTGTACAATTTTACTATTAGGGGTTAAAAAGTTTGGACTGCTTCCGCTGTCATCTCGTTCGATGAAATGAAACCATAGACATCTCTAAAGATAGTCTTGCTGGAAATACATTAGATTGAAATTAGATCTGTCTCATGTGCGTACAAAATTGTATCGTGGTTTTAAAAGGATTACCCTCTCCCTAGGTTATATTAGAATTGTTGAATTAGTATCATTTGTGAAAGGAGGCTTCAACCATGTACAAGTTGGTTGGCAAATTTGTATTTGTATATTTTAATTAAAGCGCTTACACGTAGAGAGATGGAATAAGTTTAATTTTTTTTCTGCGTCGAATTGCTTGATAGTTATCTATTCTGATCGCGATAATTGACTACACAGATCAAGCGTAAAACCTTACACTTATGCTATAATATATCACTACGTTATAATAGTTGGAATTCACGGTACGTGTTTTAAACAGCTGAAGAAGTCTACAATAATATAATAACCTTAATACTCGTATATAACCTAACAAATTAAATAATATAATAACCGAACAAATTTGATGTAATAAACTGCAGGATGTGAAATATTACTTATATAATTTAGATGGCAGCTAAAATAAAGGAGAAATCGTGTTCGATGTTTATGGCTTGACGGGCTACGGATACCAGCACAGTTGTAATGTAGAATAACTAAATGTTGATTAGGAAACGGTTTTTAAATTTAAATTATATCAATAATTAAATTCTTATGAAATGTAAGTACTGTAAGACCATTTAAACGAAAAGTGAACGTTTGGATGTCATATTTAATCTGTCATAAGAAAACGACCTCTCGAACGCTCGCGCATATGCGTACCTCCTTGCAACAGAGCTATGAAATTTTCAACAAATATTTTCAGGACAATGAAAGTGTACACCTCGAGGCCATTTTTTTCAAAATTTGATTCATTTATTTAACAATGTTACGATTTGCACTTGAATTTTTTCTCATATGATAGTTTAAAGAATAAACTTAAAATCTCAAAATTTTAATGCTTGTGCTATCGAATAAAACAAAATAAAATCTTATCAAAGTAGCTTACACCGAAACTTTACAGAATTTGGCAATTTTTTTTTTAAACTCGCACTTTTTAAAGGTGTTTCACACGCATTACATTTAAATCTCAATATCCAAATATTTATCAGTTTAATTTTTTCTGTTTAAAGTTTAAAAATTATAAAATGATCGCCTCAAGTTCTTTTAAAATAGGAATTGTGAAATAATAGTAATTAGACGATTTTTCTAGAAATTTTTTAAATGTGCTGCAATATGACTTTAAATAGAGGATGGAATTCTCGATCTTCCTGACTTGGTTGGGCATCATGTAATCTGTACTGAAAAATCTGATTTGAATATAGGATATTATTATACGCCAGGCCATTTTCTTCCTTACAGATTTCTCTAATGCTAATTTTATTTATTGATTTGCTCATCGTGCTCTTTCTGTCTGGAGAGAATTATATGTAAAGAAGTTAAACTTGAAATAAAGATTGTATCATTTGAAAATTCTTTTTTATAGATGTATATTTGCATTTAATGTAGAGTTTTTACATTGCAGAAGAAATAATGACGTCAGGACGCAGTGTAGATTCATTGAAAGGAGACGCAGGCAAATAAAATCAGAAATTTTAAATGAGCTGTTGCCAATTAAATTAGTAATTTATTGGTAATTTTCTTTCATATTTTATGTTTTACATATTCCCCTCCTTTAAGGAGAAACGTCTTGGCGATAGAATAGCCTTTTGAGAAAAATTCATAGTTAACAAAGGAAACGAAATTTTGTATAATGTGCATGACAAAGCAAATGAATTGTTTCAAGGACACATTCTTTAGGTCTCACTGCACTTTAGGTCTCAATTGGTTCTTAAACGTTTTCATATCTGAATATATAAAAATGCATAAAAATGTAACAAAATATTATATAATCTATAATAGATCAAATATAGAGTCCAATCTGAAAGTTTCTAAAATATAAGATTTTAAACTTCTTGAAACGGTTTTTCCAAATAATATAAAAATTATCTAAATTTTGGAGTCCGAATGTTTTCGCGCAATAACTGAAAATATGCATTGTTCTTGAAATGTGGTTTGAATATCATACGATAGCTTTGACATTTCTTGTTTTTTTTTTTTTTTTTTTTTTTTTTTTAAATTCTTTGGTAAAAACTAAGTGGTGTAATCAACATAATAATATTACAAACATAATAATATAACAACATAATAACACTACAACAAATCAAAATATCAACATAATAATATTACAACAAATCAAAATATTTCTTTTACGTGTTCATGAAATTATTTTAAACTTAATACTTACTTACGCAAAATAAAGGAAAATCAGGTTTTCTTATTGTACAGTAGTATAATAATTAATACACAGAAATGAACAAAACACAATACAATATAATAATAAAGTACCGCCCAGACGGGAAAGAGGTTCTTGACTCTGGCAGCCGCAAAAAAGTGTCCTAGGTTAAAATCTCAGAGAAAGCATGGGTGAAATTTTTCCATCTCTTTATAAAACGAAACGGTGGCCCAACTGTTAGGTGCCCCCATAACAAAGAGACCACCGCTTCCGGCTTTAGTAGTGGTCAATGCCTATAAACGGCTAGAGCCCGCCATTAGAACAAAATAAAATTAAATATGCTAAAGTAAACTTTTATGAGCGAATCAGCGTAATTACTTGATGATGGCTGTGATATGCTTAAATGCAATTACACACAAAAACTTCTGTTCCTTATACTAGGTAACTGGCTTTTAGCATTGTATCAAAAAATCAAAGTTTCTGTTTACTATTTATGGCCATAAAATTCTTTATGTTGCATACTTGAAATAAAAATAAATAAACCAATAAATAAATATACAAAAATTAAAATTAAAATTAAAACGAATAATCTATATACTTTATATACTTAAGTTAAATCCTACAAATTTAGTAAACAGAATTTATCATTTCCTTATTTTAATAATTTAAAGAAAAAACTTTTAGCTAAAACGATGCGAGATTCAGAAAAAATCAAATCCTAGACCAAATTTTCACAAATAGGTCTTGGACACTTGACTAAGTGATAATCAGGTTACAAATATTTTTAAAGGTTTGAAGAAATTTCAATGAATAATTTGGAAAATAAAAATTAATTAATTTTCGATAGCAACAAGTATCCTACTATATCTGACAGTTAATTTATATTCGCTTGCTGGGTTATATGTTCTAAACCTAGTAGAATGGACAATTTGTGATTACTTTTTATTATGGAATTTGGTTTAGGTATTTCAGAAGTAAATTCGGAATATTGTTTTAAAATTTTATGAGGACCTTAAAAAGGAGGGAAAGTTTTCTTGTATTAGGCTGTTGAACTTCCTCATACATTACCAAACCACCAGGTTTGAAATTACTCGCTTTAAAATGGGAGTCATATCTATTTTTTTTTACATTACTATAATCATTAGGCCTTTTCTGAGCAATTATTCTAGCTACTTCATTTGGTGGGTACAAATCTTGATTTTCAATTAAGGGATCATAAGGTAATTATCCATACATTTGATCAAATAGTGGGAATTTTGTGATAGAATGCGGTCTGTTGCTGTACTCTTCAGTAACGTGTGGTAGCAAGTTTCTTAGATAAGAATTTAAGTTACATTTTAATTTAGTTATAATAGTTTGATTAATTCTTTCTACTTTACTATTAGTTTGTGGTCTATTAGTAGTTAATAATTGTGTAACATGATTGTTTATTGAAAAATGCTAAAATTTTAAGTAAATAAAAGCAGCATTCCTGTCACCTAAAATTTTCTTTGGGACCTCAAGGTGAAAATTTTGTCTTAAGCAATTTATGTAATTATTTGTAGATACGCGTATAGAAGCAAATGCCTGTACGTATTATGAGTAACAAAGCCTATATTAATATGAATATAATTTAGAGAATTATAATAATTTAGACTACCAACAGTATCAATAGATAACAGTCGAAAGGTTCACGTGCACTCGATAAGTTTGATAAAAGTAACTAATATTGTAAGGATCCTAAGTTTTACTAACGTTTATTTTATTTTAAATCTTTACTATCACTTCTTATTTTCTACTTCCGGCCAGAATTAAAAGCTTTAACTTATTTATGCAAATTTGTCTTGCTAACGCCAAGTACTTAAGTTGTGGCTTTTTGCCAAGCAAGAGAGAGGAAGGAGTTATTGGAAGCAAGCCGCTTGCCATAGTAGTTTTACTCGGTTGCTGGTTGCCTTCAAGTCCAGAGGTTTAGTCCTCTTGATAAGTTCAAACGTATCGTAGTTTTAGCAGCTCTCTGTACTACATACGGATTTTGTTAAATAACGGTCAATCTTGAAGTTAGACACTTGTATATTAATCCAAAGTTAGTTTTAGTTAGAGTTTTTAGTTAGTATTTTTTATATTCTTACGTTCAGACCACAAGTGGTTGGTCTCCGTATTCCGAAGTTCCGGAAATCGCTGTAAAGATAGAAAATAAAGGGTTTCGTATACCCTTCCTGTGTGTATTGTCTACTTCACAATTTATTGAACATAGCTTGAGTAAGCTCCCTGTTCCGAGTCAGGACAGTTCATGTTTCCAAAGCAAATAAAGAGGAATACAAGTCCTGATAATATTAAACTAGATAAAAGTAACTCATGCCTTCTCTAGTCAGCTCTTGGTTTCGTACTACCAAATTATTACGGTAGGATGTGATGGCATTACAAGTTATAACCACGTATTTATAATCAGAAGTAGCATGACGATTAAACCCGTTTTATTTCTGAACATAAACAATCTTTTAGATGCACATTCTGTAGAAATCACTCAGCAGAATGAGTGCAGTTTGCACCCATAGTTCTATACACGCATATCATATTTTAAGTAATGTAAGATAAAGCTAAGCAAAGAGACGTGGTAGGAATAAGCATAGGAAGGACAGGACTCAGGCACGAAGCATAGAACTCAGGCTAGAATAAGCATAGGAAGATACTGTGTATAAAACAGTGGGAGTATTTATAACCTCATCTTCTTTGTTTCAATCCTCAGCAGCGACTGAGTAAGAGCTTGCAGCATTATGGATTACTGCAGAACTTATGATGCCAGTAATCCAGTCTTAAGAGGGGAACTTAAGCAAATGAAATCAGAAATGAAATGACTATTGCTAAAGTTTGTAATTTTGTTAGTAATTTTGTTCATGTTTTATATCTGACATCTAGGAAAAGAGACACATTTATTATGCCAATTCCAGGGATATTTGAAGAACTCCAAACGTTTCGCAATTATTTCGTGAAAAAAATATTATTACTCCAAATTCAGGTCCACTTTTGTACTATTTGCAGAAAATGTTTCAAGAACTTAAAAAAATTATATGTCTCTATAATAAACATAAAAAAATTAACATTTTTATTGGTATGTTTCAGAAACTTACATTTTCAAAAAGAAAAACGATCATTTATACATTAAAACTTAGCACATACGCAAAAAATAACGTAGATTACTTAGAAATAAAGAATAAAACTTATTCTTATTAAAAGTTAATTCCTCAGAAAACTGAGGTTAAACTACGAAAATAAAACTTAGGAGATGTATTAAATTGCATCTGAATGAATATTAAAAACACAGAATAGCAATAAACACCAAATAAAGGCTAAGTTATTGGTGATTCCAATGGAAGAATGCTGACGTTTCAAAGGGCATTAATCATTTTCCAGAAAGTCACCAATAGTAGGTAATGAATTATTCTTTTTCGTATAATTTAATGAAATTCCCTTCAAATAACGATAAAATGTAAAGAAGTATAAGATTTTTGAATTGAAGTTAATTCATTTTAAATGCACGAATCCGACTTGATCCACAGTAAGACGAAAGAAACTTAGAAGATAGCGGATTACTGGTTAAAATAAAGAGAAAAATTAATTTTAAAAGCAAGTAGGAAGATCATATAAACTAAAAATGTGTGTATATGGAAAATGCACTTAACTTAAACTAGCAGTTAAGACTAACATAAAAAGCAAACATAAAATTATAAAAAATTAAAATATAAAAATTTAAAGTTTAATATGCTTTAACAGTTTTAAAATTGTCGGATGTAACAATTTAATTTTATAATGGCCAAAATGTTTAATTTTAATTTTTACTTACTACTGATATTCTTGTAATGGCATCTAGTTGTTCATTGTCCTATTCGAAATGGAGCTTCGTTTGACACAACCAGCTAAGGAAACTTAATGTTGCAATATTAGATGCTTGAAGAGAATATATTACAAGTTTCACTACTGAATGCCCTGTAAATTTTATACCTAATGTGCCATCTCATTTTCATGCTTCAAAATAATGCTGAAATGATCTGGCCATATTTTTTATGAAAGATTTATATTTTCATATGCTTCAGGATACGATTTCTGATTACCAAATAGTTGCTTTTACACTTTAAAGATTACTTCAGAGTGGCACAGTCAGTAAATATCATGGGTAATTCTTTTAACATTTGTGGTCTTAATGCCTAACTGATAACGATAAGAAAAAGAAGAATATTGAAATAAATAATTTTTCTCAAGAAAATACACATGATGATATAAAAATATAATTTCTTGATCGCTCTCTCATTGAGCGGTACAAAGTATTACTAGCTTCTAATGTAGTTACTATCTCCAATGAAAAATGTGGAAGGAGGAGAACGAAAGGAAATAAAAACAAAAGAAATAAATATCTAGCTCTCTGGTCAAATCGAAAACAAATGTCAGAATCGACAGAAAATTTGGCAGGATTCCCGTATTAAAAATATAAAACATTTTACAAAGAATGTTACTTTTTAAACAGATTTCACAATTCTTCTGTATGGATGAAACACATTATAATATAAAATTCATATTTAGAAATGAAAACACTGCTTATAAATAAACAGTTTCTAAAAGGAAAGTACTCTTTAGTTCATTGAAAGGATATTTCATGATATCAATAATTTAATAATAGTTAACAGTGCTAATTTCCGAAATTTTTTTATACCAGTAGTTTCAATATACCGGCAGTTATTTGAAATAACTGAGTAAAATACCGACATTGTATGATTCGTTTTTGTTTTTGAATATTACATTTTTGTAAGTGATGATCTGTGTGGTAAATTCTCACGTTGAAAATGACCTTTTTCGTTAAATGGATTCCTTTATATTATTTTTTCATTCTCACGTGAAATTTAAAATATGTATTACTACAGTCGTTTGGTTTCATGCAGCAGGTATTTACCATTTTGTCAAAATGAGTGGTTAAAGCAAATAATGATGTAGTATTTTATCAAACTAAAAACAAGTGTCTGTTTCTAGAAGAGGTTTAATGAAATAAAATAGAAGACGTAACCAAAATTTTCCTTTTCAGTAATTCAATAACTAAGGTTTTAGCAAAGATTTGTAAACATAATATCAAATTATTGAAGAAAGTCTTCGCCAACGAAGGAAATCTACTGAAGCAATGTTTTCTTTTTTTTTTTTTTTTTTCTAAATATGAAAGTAAGCATTTAAAATTTTAAAGTGTAAAAATGTGTTTAAAAAGTGTAAATAAGCACTTTTTAAACATTAAAACCAAGCGAAAGCAGTTTATACAAAATGTTTAAGCGTTCATTTCGAAATAAAAACTACGAAATTCATACTATAAACTACGTCAAATCATCTTACCTGCTTTGTAGACTTGAACTCCTCGACAAACGTCTTAACTGCTAGTTTGATCCGCCAGCTAAGTATTTAAATTTATCTGATGGGGTAGGTTACTGATAAATAAATTGAAGATATTCTGGCTTTTCCGCCGAAGAATACGTGATAACGCATCTGATTAGATATTTGCAAAATATACGAGTATTTTTAAAACTTCATATCTAAACAGTCCATAGTGCAGTTCAAAATTTCGCAACTTCAAAAAAAGCGCGTCAGTAATAATTGGAGAAAGAATAGGATCTAATTAATATAAGACAGCTTTAAGTAGTGAATTGAAAATAATCTTACAGTTTTCTGAAGAATTTTATCATTTTATCAGCATCATCGATTCAGATCCTTACCCTGATGTTAAAAAGTTTGAAAAACTATTAAATAATTAATGAACTACTGTTTTGTGGTTACTAATCAATTTATGATTTAGTGTGCTCAGAAAGTTTTAAAGACTAATTACGGAAGATGAGTATAAATCGGCATTTAAAATCATTTCTATATAATATACGCATCATTGTATTCAATTGTTTTGTCTTATTAATTTTATAAACTGCAAATAAACATGAACTACAATATACTATAAACTATGCTAAGTTTCATCTCCTAATGTAATTTAGAGTCGCCTTTTCATTTTCAAGTGCAACAAAATAGTAGAATCATGAAGCATTAACACGATATATTTTATTAATATTGCATGCGAAAATTTTTGGTTTGCCATATTTTCTGTATTCCACGTGGAACAGAATAGAATAATAGATGTTATGAATGTAGAATGTGTTAAAGTGTAGACTGCGTAATCTGTATCCTGAAACACTGCAATACTTAACTCTATTCAATAATACTACTCAAAAACCTCATTAATTTTTATGAACACTTTTTTTCTCTAATGGTGGGCCCTCAGCTGACTTCGGCTTGGCGACAACTAAGGCCAGAAGTGGTGGTCACTTTGTTATGGTGGCACCTAATAAGCAGGCCACGTTTGCCTTCTATGAAAGGATGACCAATTACAACTACGCCTTCTCCGGGATTCGCACCCACTAGGCTTAGTAGCACTTTAACCATTTTTACATTGTTGATAACTATACAGTTATCACATACAGATTAACTAAAGGCAAACAAACGTTATTCGTAACACAAGAACAAACTAATTATATCTCTTTTAAAGCAAAAAATGCGCAGTATACCAACATATAAGAATAAAAAACCTGAGTTCACCGAGCTGAGTAAATGAAACGAGAGATGATCATTTACACGTTATAGCAGCCCCATAAACCAAATTTTAACGTTCTGAGTCTACTTGTTTTTGAAATATTCAAGATACATATTAGTGCGTATTATCGTTTATACGTATGTACGTATATAAGTATAAACGGCAAGGAAAAGAATCTCTTCTGCATCCATTCCATTTTACAATCCGCTTTGGAAAAATGAATCCTTTTTTTTGTCCGTACGTACAGCTATCAAGTAAAACCCATCGTTCAAACGGCTTGGAGAGCGGGCAAACGGATATTTTCGTTGAATTTGATATCCGAAATGTTTTGTGATATAATACTTAATTTACTTGTTACAAGGAAGTAAAAATTGTAATTGGATGTATAAATTTAAGAACGATTGTTACGAAAATATACCACGTATTGACTTTTACAGACATGGTGTACCTTGACATTTCGTTGATCCATCGATGAATCAACGAAATTAGTCTTTTATTCATGATCTGAATCACTATATTATTGGAGCAGTAGGATTTTGAGATTAAGAGTCCCAGTTACTGAAGGGCTCGAAGGTCAGATCTATGTTCAAAGCTGGAAATCTCCAAAATAGTGTTCAAATTTTAGATTATTTTTAAAATATACACTGACAAGAAAAAACATTATGAGCATTCCCACGTTTTTCAGTGAGCTCCTCTAGATGACATAGAAGGCACGTGATTATACAAGAATGGTATTTAACTGCTGCTTGAAGAACCTTGTACTGACTTTAGCGAGTGATGGGAAAGTCTGCTGATCTAAGCCAATTTGATAGAGGGAAGATATAATGGCCGAAGACTCGGAACGAGTATCTCTCAAATTGCACGACTGGTAAGCTTTTCACGATCTGACGTTGTTAGCATTTATGCAAAGTTGATAAATGGCTGTGAAACCAGCAGTAGAGACCAAGGTATTTGTATGTTCACGCTTCATCAGAGAAAGATTACGTCGGAGACTGTCCCACTTGGTACAGTACAATCGGCGTTACACAGTGGCTCCGCCGACAGCCTGTTAAGTTATTTTTCCCTTTTAATTTTTTTTAACTTAACCGTATCGTAAATATTTTGGGGATTATTTTTATTCTTCGAATTTTTTACCTAGTTGCCTTTTTGTTTCGTTGCCAACTTTTGCCGATATTTGAATTCGGTCCCGATAACAGAACAGTAGCAAATTTTACATTAAATAAAAAATATGACTATAATAGCATATCATTGTGAAATATTACATTAGTATTGTAGGATTATGAAAAATATTAGTAGTCCTCTAAACTGTTAGACTTTAGGGTCATACCTTGTGAGTAAATGGAGTAATCCGGAATCAGGTCTTGATAATGTATGCTAGTTTTAGCTATTGCTATATTTTCTTTCTTAATGTAAAGATTTTGAAGCAGGTGAAACACAATTTCTAGACTGTGCTACAATGTATTTTTCGAAAGCTGAAATGAAATAAAAATATGCTTTTACTTGACTGTTAGGCTAAAGGATTTTTTTATAAACCTCTTTTGATTAATCATTTCTTTCAGTACTCTGTTCATGAACAAATTACGAAACATCTCGAACAAAGAAAACAAGTTATTGTTCACTATTGGAGTAAGATAAAAACAATACTTATGTCTCAAGGTCAAGGTTTGCTGTGGTCTTCTTGTTTCACGAAATGCTATGTTTCAAGGACATTCAAATTTAAAAATAACAAATCATTAACTATTTCACTTGCGTATTTTTAAATTTTAAGCATTGTTCAAGGCCTCAGTGGGGGAACGCAGTATAAAATTAACGTGAATCCTCAAAAAGCTTCCGTAATAGAATAAAAAGTATTTTTTCGTAAATATTAAGATGGAAGGTAGTTTTTGTCACAGGACATATAAATAATTTTTAAATGACTCTGAAATTTACTTTCTTTTTACTAGCAATATATATTCAGGAAAATAATCGTCTTATAATGACAAATGTTTAAAGGTGCAACGTTTAATATATTAAAATTTATAACGTTCTTGATTAGGTCCTAGATCCACAGTTTTGCAAATCAAGAGGTTCTAAATTGCTGAAACTTTTAACTGATTTGATGAATATTTTTTGTGCTCATATGGTGTGTTATGTGGTACTGGTCTTCTGACCAAGTCAGGCGAGAATGTTGATATGGCGCATTTCATCATTGTCGAGAAACAAACGGTTACCAATTTGCACATTTACAGGAAACAAATGCCCGCTGCTGGCCACCCCTCTGCTGGACACCATGAAGGAAGGAAATACAAATAAGATTTTTATTGTACGTAAACAGTGCGGCATGAAGACAAAATGACTAAATTTGTAAGCATTTTCTAGGTTTACAGGGGTGCAGAATTAGTAAAACAGCTGCCACTCCTGGCAGCTAAAACGGCCCTTACCCCATTAGGCATAGACTCAAACTGGGCTTAGATGACAGAAACAGGCAACTCATTCAATGCTGCTTCAAATCTATGCCACACTTCATGAACTGTATCAGCTGGAGAGGGTTAGCGGGCCAGTCTCTCAGCAACCTATGACCAGATTGTTTACAATGGATGACAGATCCAGAGATCGTGTAGGCCAGGGCAGCAATCGAATACCCTGTGTTTCGAGGAAGGTCAGAACACGACATGCAACCTTGTAATCTTGCATTATATTATTGGAATGGCGTTTGGAGGCCTCGAAGATAGGGCATAACCACTGAATGTAAGATGTCAGAAATGTACCCTTCTGCGTTCAAATTACCGTTGGTCCGAACTAGAGATGTGCAAGTCGTGAACTCAATGGGTGCTCAAACCATTACACCAGGTGCTGGGCTCCTAAGCTAATATCGAATGTAAGTAGGCGTCGTGCGGTCTCCTCGGACACTCCAGACGCGTAAAAGGGCATCAGAATACTGCACGTAGAACCGGGACTCGTTTGGAAAGGCGACATAGTGCCACTCCTGTACCGAGCTTTCTCGTTTGGTGCACGAGAGTCACTGTCTCTCTCTATGCTGCATTGTCAAGGAAAGCCGAAGTAATCGTCACTCTGCTGATAGTGCTGCAAACGTCGACGCACCTTACGAGTTGATACTGGGCGTGCTGCAAACATGATCATTTCCTGACTAATGGTCGTGATGTGGTCGTTTGGAGGGCTGACCTCATAATAAGATTGTACTCTCGGGCGTTAGTCATAGGAGAGCGTTGATATCCTGCCTGCCGTTCAGTATGACCCTCAGGAATCCATTGATTTCATATTCGCATGATAGTGGTTATATGTCGACCAGTGCGATCGGCGATATCACGGAATGATAATCTGCATTCTCGATAGGCAACGATCCTGCCTCTATCGAATTTCGAAACTTGCTGGTAAGCATTTTCTCTTCTTATTCGAGGCATCACACGATATTCTAAGCAAACTCTAACCTTACAAAGCACTTTCCGAATGAGAAATCCACTACACAACTTTCTTTTATGAAGTGCTTCGGATATCTTTTCTCCCTCTTGCGTCGTCTAAATGCACTGAAACATTAATTATTTCCATATACCAACTTCTTCTTTTTTTATGTGATTTTAACGTTTTTTTTTCAATGGCATATTGTGAACAATTACAAATGTAACCCAGTTTATTAATCTATACAACGCCGGATGTGGTGGTCTCTTTATTATGAAGGCACCTAATAGGTGGGCCACCATCGCCTTTCCTATGAAGGGACGGACAGTTACAACCATGCCTTCTCCGGGATTCGAACCCACGCTTTTCGGCATCGCATTCAGCTTCTCTGACCACCATACCAACTGGGCGACTGTGATTTTTAACGTTCGTCAGGATCACTCCTTCCTGGTTTTGCAATTTTAAAGGCCCGCAGTGTAATTGCACTCTATCAATATAGTGGTT